GTCGAATTTGTTGTTCATCGTCGCTCGCTGCCGCCGCCACCCCCGTTCGCCTCAGCGACTTCCGCCCTGCTGGGTCCGCCCGCGAAACCCTTCCGCCTCTTCCGGCGGCCCCGCCATCAGCTCCGCGTTTCCCCCCGGAGCCGCGACACTGTGCACGGCGGGCGGGAAAGGGAACGAGCTGTCGGAAGCGTCCCTCAGGGCAGGGCCGCCATCTTGGGTGTGGCATCTCTGGCGCTGTGGACCGAGTCAGAGCGTTATGAATTATTCATGCAATAAACTTTGCACCGGTAGGTACAGTTTGAGGACTCAGACAGTCACTCTTCAAAGGGTTTTCCCACCTTGCCTCCTGTGGCGACTGCTCGACGACCTCCCCATCGTTTTTCCTTCATGTACAGTGAGGAATGGCACAGAAAATGGGAAATGATGTCTCAGTAAAGAGCCTGCACACTCCTGAAGTGACAGTGAACGAGGATAAGGGCCATAGTCCCTCCCTCAGCATCTCCTTGCACTTCATGAATCTGTTCCCATGTTACTCCATGAGCACATCACTCACTTCATGTTTTAGGTGGAATTCAAATAAAGAAATAGCTTAACAGTCTCTCCGGAAAAAAAGGAGGAGAGGTAGGAGGAGTGCTGCTGGAAATACTTTAACTAGAAGCATTTGAAATATGTAGCAGCTGCCTAAGATACAATTACTAGTTACCTTTAACATCTCACTCAGGCATGCAGCAATGAAGTCCTGCGGCTGTGCAGGCACCCAGCTCTTCTGGTGGTGCCTGATCTCAGCCTTAGTAAGAGTTCACAGATCCTGCAGGGGTGTCACTGCCAGCAGCCTTCTGATCAGCAAAGTGCCTGAGGGCCTCAGTAATGATGGGAAAGTGTTCTGGAGCTGCACCTGGAAATACAAGCAGGGGAATGCCATGAACATCTTGGCTTCACAGAGCACTTACAGGCTGAATGTTCACAGCTGAACTGTGCCTAACCATTGACCATGCAATGATCTAAATTCATTACTTGTCTGACTATAGGAAATGTATGACCTCTTAATTATTAAAATAATTATCTTGTAGGGAAATGTGTTAAGGATGACCATTACCATACACTTCTGCATTGCCTGCTTTCCATCGGTAGCTTTCAGATCTGGCAGATTCAAATGCCCTTAAATACAATTTTTCTTAAGTTTTCTAAGTGAAGGCTTTCCCAAATGACCTTTTCCTTCCTAAATTTTAAGTCAACACCTGTCTGCAGTTCTCAAAGCCACATTCATGTTAGTTTGTCCTGTTTATTCTGGAGGGTTCTTGCAGCCCAGTCTAACACAGGATATCAGGGTTATTATAAAACTCTCCAAGACACAAGCTAAGAGTCTTTGGCTCCATGACAAATTTGATGCTGCATATTATATATGTAAAGTCAAGCCAGTCTCTCTGAAGAGAGCTGTTACAGGAGATTCAAAGCTCTGTAGGCATAGCAAGCCATGAACAGTTGCAGAGAGATCATTATTGAGAAAGAAGGGCACAGCAGTGCTGGCTACAGCCGAGTTCAGTGTTTATTTGAGAGCTCTCCTTCCTCTCTGTGCCTTGGCAAAGAACAACCATTCCATGCCACAGCTCACTGAGGAATGCTGCCAGATGTTGATACAATCACAGGGAAGCCCTTGCTTACCTGAGGCCAGGAGGTGCCATGGAATTCTGCCATGGCCTGGGATCCTCTGAGCAGCCTCTGGCACATGACAGCCTCTGTAGTGAAGCAATGTCCAAAAAGCCATCCGTTTGATGGCAGAAGGGAGTGGAACAGAGAGATCCATGCCTACAAACAAAGCAAGCTGCATAATTAACTTCTTTTATAGGCTCTGACCCATTGTTACACTGAGCATTTGATTTGCATGGGATTACACAAATAGCTGAGACTGCAGGAATCAAGAAACAAACCAGGGGATTGTTCTTCCAGCACCTTTATAATAAGTGGGGCCAAGACTTCACCCTACAGGAAAGTGCATAATCAGCACTATTTGGGAACCTCTCATCTGTCTCTCCCATAAAGGGTTAGCAGGAGAGCAGTGAGTCAGGCATGATGCTCTAGACTCCAGTGTGAAAGCATCAGCTGTGTGAACCTCTCATTGAACCTACTGTGGAAATTGCAGCTTGCTGCAGAAATAGCAGGGCTGGAAATAAGGAGAATGAGCACATACAGAGCTATATTTCCCCCCTTCCTCTGACAGTGAAGCAGCAAGCTTCACCCTGGACCCAGACTTCCGGGATTTTCTTCCCTAGTCCAAGCTTTCTCAATCATCAGCCTGAATCACCTCTGCTGCTTCTAGATGGGCCCACTGGCATAAATGACACCGGCAACAAAATGGAGAAGGAGTGGGGAGAAGCTTGGCACTGGTGCAACCTTTGGCATTGGCTGGGGAAGGGATGGGAGAAATTTCATTTTGCTCTCAAGGAAGAAAAGAGGCCATAATCATGTTTCACTATTAGAATCTTAAAAGGCTTTCACAGTTACTAATGCATTGGATTATTATTTATGGTGATCATTATTCATGTGTTCGCAGCATGTATAGCCATCAGTGCAGCAACTGTGACATGATACCCAGAAATATTTTAGGATTCCTCTATTCACATTGCCCACCAGAGGGGATTGATCGATACTGCAAAATCATAAATTCTGCTTTTATTATCTTTCCATGTTTATTTGTTTTCCAATCCTACAGCCTTTTCAGTACTAACAACAAGGACCAGCCTCCACCATTAAAGTAGGAATTATAGCTGTAATTAGCAGGTGCAGCCATTAGATGGTAATGTTCACTCACTGCTGTGCTGGAGGATCTGGTGAGGCCAGTGGGGCAAACTTTTCAATCAGTCATTGATCTGGAGTTTCTCTTTGGAGATGTGTTGCATACCCTGAACAGTCTGGGAAGTATTTAACTCTTACAGATCCTTCTGATTGCCAGTGGAGTTTGGGTTTTCGGTAATTGTGCAAATCAAATCTCTGGCAACTATAAATTAGAGGCCAATTTTAAACTCTTTAACCTGGGTAGTTGAGAAAGACTTAATTGCACAGAGGGAGGGAAGACAAGATAGCGTTACCTTGCACAAAGATTTGTGATTTCAGATACGAAAAACATCAGCTAGCCTGTGACTGTATGGGATAGGACGTAAGGATTTCTGAACATATGTTATAGGAATTTTAAAGTATAAAACAGGAATGAATAAAGATGGTCCCTGCATCATATGCAACTATATACATATATATGTAACTTTATATATAAAATGTGATCCTTTTCTGAGCAGTTGCAGCACTTTGATAATATATGCTGGACACTTCAAAGATGAAAAGGCACCTCTTTGCTCTAGGGATATTCAGGGAACTGGTGAAAACATGGCATTTGTTAAGCTCTTAAGAGTTTGAGCACAGTTTCAACATGTGTTGAGTTCTCCAGCTTGCTCTTAGGAATCCACTGGTAATGTGTTGCTGAACTCAGAACATCTATAAACAGGATCTGCATCTCTCTAGATGATGCAGACCTTCTCCTTTGAAATTTTTGGAAACAAAGATGTAACCAGGGATTCTGGAATATGCTGACCATACTGAAAATGCATGCAAATATAAATGGGAACCTGGATGATGTCAACTTGCTAGGAGCAATGTCTGTTTTCCATAAGCGACAGTAATTTGAAGGATGGTTTCCTCAGCAGTTGAGTCCAATCTTTTACCTTAATAGCCCAAGCAAGGTGGAAAGGGAAGAAGAAACAAGTGCCTGAATCCCAGAACTGGATTCCAGTTGGTACCCAAAGAAACATCAGAGCTGGTTCTTCCTTTTGTATGCACAGGAAACCAGGAAGCCTTAATAATGCAGTTTGTCTCATATATGTCCTAGGCTTAGGGACTCAACTCTTTATCAATATAGGTATATATTGAGAGGTACATATAGAGATGGGGGCACATCCTGAATCCTGAGCAGGAATCCCTCCTAACTCATCATGGCAGATGCACCATGCATCTCAATATGGTGTACACCATATTAAGGATAATCAGTAATATTACTAATATGCCTCTACACTGTCAAACAACAACAACAACAAGAAGCCAGAAAAGCAGTGTTTTGATACCCTACCAAAGAGTACAGACAATGTCACCTGGCTGCAGGTCTGTGCAGCTGCTCACTTATGCAGTTAAATGATTAAGACTTTAATCCATCCACTTGGTTGTTTTGAAGTGCACGGTGGCTCTGGTAATTACTGTCACTTGCAACACATTCCCAAAACCTGCAGAACTCTGGGGAAGAAGAAATTATGTCTCAACACAACCTTCACTTCATCCTTTTCCCTTCATTCCTCTTCTGAACAGCAGGGACTGGCTTGGAGCAGTAACACCTCTAGTGAGCTGCAGTCTCACCTGCTTTTCTGGTTCTGCACTGGCCAGGTCTGGCCAAGGAGCATTCCATGGCCTTGTTGTGCCAAGACACAACCAGCAGTATTGCCAAAATAAAGTCAACAGAATTAACTCCTTAAGCAAACAAACTTTGCTTTCTGCTCCTCATTGAGGACTTTTGCTGATTCTTCCTGTTTCCTTCCTCTTTGTAACTTCTGCCATAATAACAGGATTCCTCAGACATTATTTTTGGCCAGGTGACTGTTCAGTGCCTTACACCATCTCCAACTGTTACTACAGGCCTGTTTCATTCAATACTAGTCCTTTCTAAAGTCCATCAAGTATACACAAGGCTTGAGTTCTGCCTGGAAAGTTCATAGCTCAGACTGAAGCCAGGAAGGAGCAAAAAGCTGCTTTTATATTCTAGCCAAGGATACATTAGGAGTCTACAGATTAAATATTCATGAAACTATAAAAAGCACAAATACCTTCAACAGTGTTTCATGGTGAGCTGGAACATCAGTGTCCACAGCTGGTTAAGGAGAGAGGTGTCAATCTTGGAGGCAGTTTCCTTTAGGCCCTCTGGATGTTCAGGAATATCAGAGAAATCCAGATACACAGAAAAACAAAAACACACACAAAAAAATGGACTTTTTGAAAACATTGCTGTTCTCATGTCCCTCCTCACTCAGTTGTGACCTGCTAGCCCCAGAGCCTGCAGCCCCTAGATCCACACTCCCACAGGCATTAGCCATGTTGGAGCACTTGGAAGCCCAGGAAATGAACCCCATCTAGTCCCAGGCAGAGGCATGTGGGCAGCGATGGAGTGTGTCCCTTCCACTGTGCACAGAGTGAGCAGGAGAATGGATCAAGTCAACTGAGGTGGGTCCCTTTTCAGCTCTCACAGTGAGAATAAGGCTGGTTCCCTGCTCTGGACATCGGCTTGGACTTTAAAGACCTGATTCAGTTCCCTGCTGTGCTGCAAGTCCCATCCCCTCATTTTCCCTTTCACCAGGGTTGGATCCAGCAACACAAAGCTGAAAAAGGGCCTGGATTGATTTGGCTGATCTGGTGGAAAGCCCTTCAGCTTTAGCTACAGTGTTAGTTTTATTCTGGCTCAGCAGTCTGAACACACTCACCTGCTGGCTGCTGCCTCACTGAGCAGAGTGAGAACATGGCCAAGGACAAAAGTGGGCAGGACCACCCCTTTTGGCAGACTCACTGATCATTTTAGCTGCAGCACAGAGCCCTCAGCTGCTGCTGTCACAAATACATTCCCAGTTAACCACTCCAGTGACAGTAAACAGAGAACTACCCTGTACAGAAATTATGTTTCACTCTCTGGTGATTGTTTCCTTCTAATGCACTAAAACATCCGCAGCTAATGCCCTAATAAGATTTTGCAGGTATAAAGTGTATGGATGGCTCAGGAATGGAGAGACATTATAATGGAAGAACTTTATGGAAGACAGAAAACAAATCTAATGAATTTGTTATTCCTCAGAAACATTGTGAAAGACAATGATGCATCGCAAAGTACTTCTCAAGAGCTCAGGAGTTGCCAATACCGTTTTCTCCCCCAGATAAAAAGTTTCTTTTACTCAGTTTCTGAGAGAGAAACTTCAGCATCAGGAATCTGAAGGACATTCAGGGGGTCTGCCACTGCTTGGAACAGGCTGTACTGGTGAAGGACAGTGGCGGCCTGTAAGGAAGGTGTTCCTTTGATCCCATGTTGAAGCTATATGTTAAGGATGGGAGTTTCCCCTCAGTGAATGTACAATTTGTCAATGCTGTTGTCTCATCAAGACCACCCTGGGAGAGGCCTGGGGAACTGGCTGTGCTCACAGCACAGCTGCAGAGACATTGTACTCTCCAGTTATCTTACACAGGCTTGTTGTGTGCCCAGCTCCCTCTGCTTTCATCCTGACCGTCATGGAAGGGAATAAAGAGTGGGTACTTCTTGCCAAGGTGAAAACCAGAAAGATGAAGCTAAGGGGCTCTGAATAAATCAGATGTGTTTGTCAGCTCACAGAGAGAATGAATTTCCAACTGGATGCAGTTTTACAAGTGTTTACCTTTGTGCTGCCCTTGGTGTGTTCTCTGAGAAAGCACAATCCAAGCAGTTTTGCATGTGACCTCATTAGTCTCCCATCTTTTCTGGGATAAGTCAAAATATGGAGCAGTGCCCAGTGCAAAGTGGTTGCTGTGGTTTCTGTTCCTGCCAAAAAGAGGACGTGGAGGCTCCAGACCAGGTTGTCTTCGTCACACTGCAGAGATGGCATTGCTTTTAATCTTCAGACAAGAGAGGGGTGAGTTTAGAGTACAGCCAACATTGCAACATATACAGTCATCAACTCCAGATGACTTCAGCAAACAACAGTTTTCAGAATCTCTGATTTTCCAAACCGGGTGAATGTGAAGAGCAGTAGAAAGTAGTAGTGTCTTACAAGTTTCTGTCTCTTCATGTCTGAGAAAGCACCATATTTCATGTCTGAAAAAGCAAATAGGCAGTATTAAAAAGATTTGAATGATAGCAAAAGATCAAGCTGGAAGTTTTTCAATGGCAGATGTTTCTTTCAGAGATCTGCCAGTCTGCTGAATTCAGAACACTTCATGGGATTTTCTTATATCTGTGAAAGCTTTAGGACAAGTTCATAGGCTCCTATTCCCCCACCACTGTCCTCCCACGCAGGACAGAGCCCTTGGTGATGCTAGAAAATGCAGCAGTTGTGTGTTCCTTTTTTACCAAAGAATGGGCAAAACATACAAGTTCCTGACAACTGAAAACGTTTCTGTGAATATCTCAACATACTGAAGTATCTAAGGTATATTTTGGCTTCAAGATCTACTACTTAACTTTTCCAAGAGATATGTTTTGACACAATGATGATGGTTCCATTTCAGGACGCTGATTAGCAGCATTTAGAAATACATGGCTAAAGCACCATTCCCTATGAGACTTAGAAGTGTCCCCTAAATCCACACTTCTTTTTCATGGGCTCTGGAAGTGACATTTGTTTTCACAAGAGTAAGCTGCAGATACAGCATTACTCCACATATAACACCCCTTATTTATATTACATCTCTAGATTATTTTATAATTTATCTGTTAGCTACTTTAAATACCCAAGCTGTGTAACTTCCGGGAGATGTTGTGTTGGCTGTGGTGCTATCTGAAGTCAGCACAGCCTCTTTTCAGTGGGGGGGAGAAGAGTCGGCTTGG